CCTACCAAGGTATATACCATAGAGCAACGTATGACTATAGACGGGTATGCGCACGGTATAGGTATATTGTCGTCGTCGATTATATTAAAAATATTTTATAAYAAACCTACTACTTTTTTCCTWACTCATATGTATGTATTGTCCAGAATTTTCGTTTGGTATCCTCAGTGATTCCCCCAGGGACGCGGAAATGTTTAACGATATTCCTGCCGCGTATGTAGCGCACCAAGCATTATAGTACCCACCATAATAATATGTGAAATGTACGGTCATAGCCATTCGTAGCTTTTACGTTACACAATAAAATATATTTTCTTTGCTTTATTKCGAGTGGAATGTTATCATTATTTATTAAAGGTATTAGGGTAGTAAATATTTTTTAAATTAATTATCATAGCTTTTTTTTAGCTAAATATTCTAAAATAGATTCTAAATAGATATCTCAACACAAAATGTTTAAGCTATGACGCGACAATCAGCGCCGGCGGAAGTGCAGCGCAAAAAGGACAGGTTCCCAGGGCCCGGTGCCTTTMGTCGCATTTTATGATTAGTAACTTTGTAATTTTGTTTTTCAAACTAGTATAATACAAATGTCATCTGCAGATTTAACGCTTTCTTGGARTTCACTATCATCGTTTTATTCCCAACGCGGCCGAACTACAAGCCACGCTTACGACTGGCAGCCGAAATCAACAAGCCGGATGGTCCATAACTTACTGTGGACGGCGACAGCACAAGCCAGTTTCGACGTTCGCCGACACCGCACAACTATTGCAACTGATCCAGGGCACCGCGCTACGCTGTGTCAGACGTGAATCCCCGGCCAACGCGACAAAAAACAAAACAATTTGTATTTTGTCGCATTGGACGCATCGTATTTCGACAGAACAGCATGGACAGATATCGCCGAGGCAGTCGTCCTCGAATAGAACGTCAGCGGTTTAGTGGCAGCCGCTGGATTTTTTTCTCGAAAAAGTTATCTCGTCAGCTACGACAAATTTCGCATCTGTCTCAAATCACACATGCAACGTCGAACAAATTTTGGCCAAGGACAACAACATCGTCCACGACGTGCTGTCGACAATTGAAATCGATGAGACAACAACACTGTCGGACTTACGGCAGTGGAAAATCAACCAAACTAACGATCCGAAGCTCCGACGTATTATCGGCGATAATACAACAAGTTCGTTGTCGCTGCAGGCGCGCAACGTTCKGATGATTCCACGGGTCCACGTGTTCGTACCGGCGATACATCGGCGTCGAGTATTCGACTCGTTTAACGGTCAAGTGCTCGACGGTCGCCGCATCATCCATCGACTCATCAAATCGCGGTGCTGCTAACCTGCAGACATGGATCGAGGAGGAATCACGCGATACACCCAAGCCTGCGAACCGTGCCAACGCGCCAAAGTACACAAACACACGATGTCCAGGACCAGTATCACATCAAGCGACGTTTCGTTTACACTCGCCTTGATTTGATTTTACTTTTCACCGCACGCTCAATCCGGGCTSATCACCGCCGCAACACAAGTTCCGACCGAGTTGGCAAACGGCACCACGCTCAGACGTCCAGGCGAGTACATTCACCACGCTCAACCCGAGCCACGGCCGATCGAGCTGGTATAGCTGCACGAGACAGCACTGATGTACCCCAGGTACGAACCACGATACTCAACGCACTACGTTCGTGCCCGCCGATCTGAGCAGGGTCAATCATATTATGGTCCGGATCGGCGCAGTCAGGCCACACCACACTCATCCAGCCTCGTTTCGAAGGCCCACTCGTCGTACTCGATCGCCGGTWAAGGACGTTCAAAGTGCAACGCGACCTGTCCACGTTCACGGGAGGAGAGGAGAGTGACCGCACCTGGCTCTCGTACTTTAGGGTTGCTTTTATTTTTTTATAATTTGACAGTCTGMCCACGTGCTGTTCTCCTTCTGTGAAACTCAATAAATATTTTTAATTGATTATAAATTTTAAAATGTAATAATCATCACCTAAATGGCTAAATTAACGTAGGTATACAATAGTACAATAYAAACAATTACCTAAGTTATTGAAACGATGCAAATTTTTATAACTAATCATTTATTAAACCATGTTATAACAATACATTTATAGTTTTTTTTTCTTTTACACAAAAAAAATATTAATTATATTCAGTTTATGATAAAACTATAATATTATCTCTATTATTATAAAGTTCTAATAAAATGTATAAAAATAAGTGGAGATTCACAAAACAAATTTATAGTTTATATGTATTATTTTATGTAATATAAATAATGCTAGGTACTACCATTTAATTAAGTATAATATTATACTTTAAAAAATAATTTAGCTTGCATTGAAATTAAAACTAAAATTTAAAAAAATGTATATAATATATAAAATTAAATAAAATTTGGTAAAAAATATTAACTAGATTATGTGCAATAAAAATAAAGAAAGTTTTTCTATTAAAAATTATTAATACCATGGGTTAAGCATACATATAGAGCATAGATACATATAGCAAATACAATTCAATTTTTTATATAATTAATACGATTCTTTTATTTGGATAAAATAAAAGCTTCATCACCAATAAATTCAAATGTATAATGCAATCTATAATATAAACTTTGATAATTGATATGTTATGCTTTATTTATATAGTCTAAATGGTCTACTTAAGGCAACAAAGATAAAAGTATAAAACAAAACAGTGATTGTATTCCAGTGGCAAATTAGCCAGTATATATTTCTTGGGAAAGGTGATCTTTATAAGGAATAATTTTATAAACCCTTATATAGTGCTAAAAATTAATTTTGATTCAAAATATTCTAAAAAATAAAATGTTCTTAATATTAACAATATTACAGTGTTTATATTTTATATAAGCTCAAGAAAATATGTAACCAAAATA